AAAAAAAATCCAGTAATAACTTATATTATGAACAAATGCAAAGGGATTCTCCGCCGCCGGAAGAGATGGAACAACTGAACGCGAGGCTTGATTCCCTCTTTTTTTTTTTTTTTCCTTTCTTTCTTTTTAAAAATAAACAAACTGGATCCTGTTTCAAATGGCTGTTTTGCCCTGGACACTCAAAGGTCAGAAGCGCTAAAAGAAAAAGAAATAAAAGAACTGGACTGTTGATCCAAAATCTGCCGAAATCTGTCCTTGCTCTGGAGAAAACGGACCCTTGGAAGTTTTATTTTTGTTGGTTACGTCCTGGGCTCCCAAAGAGGGTTTGAAATGGGGGTCGAGGTTGCAGAGAAGAGGTTGTGGGGTTTTTTTATATTTAAAAACCCCTCCATTTCTCCTCCCTTTTGCTTTGCTTCTGTTGTTGGGGGAGAGATTTTTTTTTTACTTAGCTGTCTAGGAACAGTGTGCAATGCAGAAGAGAAATGGAGCAGAAGGGACCAGAGGAGTGAAGGAAGTTTGTGTTCTTTTAAACAAAAAAAAAATTAATAAAACGACACCTCGAGACAAAATTCCACTTATCTCTCTTGCTACCAGGTTGGGATGTGGGACAAAACTGGCCATCACGCTTTTTGAACATGTTTGATCCGGTTTGCGGCTTCCAAACCCAGCCCGGATGCCAAAAGCGGGTGTCTCAAATGAACCAGTGATTCTCCAATTTTGTTCCTCCAGATTTTTTGGACTTCAGTTCCCAGAAATCATAACCATCTGGGGCTTCTGGGAGTTGTGGTCCAAAACGTCGGGAAGATCAAAGTTTAGAAACCACTCTATAATCCATCATCTTTCTCCCTGGCATCATCCTTCCTCCTTCTGTCCTTGTTTAAAGAGCAATTCCCCATTTGTCAAAAAATAAGAGAGGCACCTGGGCAAGTTAAATCAGTGATTCCCATATTTTGTTCCTCCAGATGTTTTTGGACTTCAGCTCCCAGAATCCCTAACCATTGGCCAGGCTGGCTGGGGTTTCTGGGAATTGAAGTCCAAAACACCTGGAGGACCAAAGTTTGGGAACCACTCCAGTCCATCATCTTTCTCCCTGGCATCATCCTTTCTCCTCTCCTTGTTTAAAGCGCAATTCCCCGTTCGCTAAATATCAAAAGAGGCACCTGGGCAAGTTTTTGCTTTAAATCAGGGTTTCTCAAACTTTGTTCTTTTAGGATTTCAGCTCCCAGAATTCCTGACTGTTGGCCAAGTTGGCTGGGGCTTCT